ATGTCCCTTTTCTTCACTTCTCCTTCTTGCCTCCGCTTGCTCCCTCTCTCAAGCTAAAAGTCAGAGAGTCTGGTTGATGTCCTCGTCCAATGGTGTTAAAGGCGTCGGATTGCTCTGGGTCATGCACCTCCTGCACACACTCAAAGAACACAACACGTCTAGCACAAGCACACTTCACACTTAACAACATTGAAAATAAAAGCTAGATTAACACGAAAAAAACTTTTCACGATAACAGACCAAAGCTTCACGGCAACGGCGCCAAAAACTTGACTCGCTCTGACAATCACAATAAAATCCCACCTTAGGTCCAAGTATAAACCTTAGATGGGTGCAATATAGGGAAAGTATGTTTAAATATCGACCCGGGTCGGCCCATGTACCGCTACTTTGACTGTTTGAAACATTATCTAGCGGATAGTTTTTGTTAAAACAAAAATCTAAAACTAAAGAACTTTGGAAAGATGAAATGGTTTTGACACTAATTGAGAAGGCTTCCCCCAGGTGTTGCTCCCCCTAGCTAAAAATTACGACTCGAAGGATCGAATGACCGTGTGTAGTTAGGCGGTTATAAACCGCAGGGAAGTCTAACAAGTAGCCAAAGCTACCCTCTTAGTCTCTAGGTCTAGGAAATGGGATACGATCCAAGCCACTAATGCGACCATCTCCACCTATTGACTAATGAATAGTTAGACTTCATCCTCATATTGGAGTTCGGACGGCCACCCACAACCAAACCCTAAGTGCTAATACGAAATAGGAGGTTTGCCCTGCGTTAACCTAACTAGGAGACAACGAATTTCCCAAGAAAACCCAGCATTCAAGCCTCTTTCAAAGAAAGGAAGGGGGTTTTCTCTACCTAGGTTAGAATGGCAATTAGATTGATAGGCTTTCACACAACACAATCATTCATGAATAATACCTCCACATTCACATTAAACACAACTACACACAAATCATTCAATTCATACAATCATTCACATAATTTTAGCTAGGGTTTACAAACTCCTAAGTGAAATATGGGACTACTCCATGCTAGGAGAAGGGAAAACACAAGAGAGGAAAAGGGAAACCATCAAAGAGATGCAAGCCTTGCTCCTTGTGTTGAAGAGATCCTCCTTTGGGGGAGGAATTCCAAATCCTTGCTTGGAGATGAAATCCTAGCTTCTCCTCTTCTTGGTTTGTCACTTTCTCACTATAAAAATCTGAAGAAGAAGAAGAAGAAGAAGAAGAAGAAGAAGAAGAAGAAGTTTCTCACACTAGGTCTCTTCCCTTTCTTATTCCTTTTAGCTAGCTCTTTATACTGAAATCGTGCCCAGTTCACGGCCTGAGTTCACGGCTGTGAACATCAAAACGCGTCCGTGAACACAGTGTGTTGAATCACAACGCACCGCTTCACTTCTCAGGTTCACGGTTTGTGGTTGCAGTTCACGGTCTTAGAGACCGTGAACAGCCTTGGCGTCAGTAACCTCAGAATCCCCTCTGGACGCTTCTTGGTTCACGGGTTGTGGTTCCAGTTCACGGTCTTGGAGACCCTGAACTCCAATGGCAGACCGTAAACACGGGTTGTCTCCTCCTCTTTTCCCGGTCTTTACTCCTTTTCTTCCAACTTTCGACTCCGAGGTTGGTTTCACCTGTTAGAATCTGAAACACACGAAACCTAGCGTAAAACCACCCATTTTGGATCTCAATTTCAACAAACGTCAAAGAGAAATGGGGATAAAAAAGTGTACAATTATGCCTGAATCATGGGTCGGCAAGAGGCTCCCATCACGAACATGGTCGACTGGAGGAAGTGAAAGAATTTCCTGTTGGGGTTACTGATTTAGCACAATGCATGCATAGCCCCAGAGGCTTCAACATCGCTAAATCTCGAACGGTTATGCTGGGCCGGAGTCAGCAAAGATCCACCCCCAAGAAAGCTTAGTTTGATGGGTCTCATCATGTCGCCAATCCCCACAGGATTGTGTAGAAAGACCGCATGCAGGGTGCACCGCGCCACTCCCGTAGGGAGCGTCGAGCTGAGAGTCAGGAAGTGAGCTTCGATGTACTGGATAAGCTATTTGAAGAGGCTGCCACCCATGCTCATATTGTACGACGTCGCAAGTTTATCCTAGAGGAGTCTGACGAGGAGCTGCCATCTCCTACGGATCCCATGAAATTGGGAAGAGCAACCGCGGTTACTTTGGAGGCGCAGCAAGGTCCTCGGCGGTTGATCAAGTTCTCTGGAAAAGAAACATGTTCGTGCAAGTGAAACAAAGAAGAAGGTGGTTCTTCCCCATCCTCCTGTGACTACTCGACAACAAAAACTGACCACGGCAAGGAAGCTGGCGCGTCTTGCGGGTTGGGGAAAGGGTGCTACTGGAAGGAAGTGAACTAGGAAGTTGGAAGCTTATAACATATCTATTGCGCCAGTCCCAATCGGTGTGGAAAATAACCACATCGGGGGCTCTGCGAATGGGGAATCCTTGCTAGTGCCACTGTCGTCCCGGGGGAAGGTTCCTTTGCTGGATACTCATTCTACTGAAGTCATGGGTCGGATACTTCATCTTTGGAGGGAGAGGAGCTTGGATTTGAAATCAAGGCTCGTGATCCCGTCTATGAATTCAAGGAGGTGAGCCTCCCCTGACAAGTTTGACAGATTGTGGCTGCTTTTGAAGCTGGCCTGGTGGTGAATGAAGTTATGGTAGTGCCAATGGAGTCCGAAACTGGGCTCCGTAATCTGAATGAGTACGGGACCAACATACTGAACCCAAGAGTTGGTGGCTGCAAGTGCGCGTTCCAAGAGGTGACAGGGGAGGTTGGGGATACCCCATCGCCCAAAAAACAATTTGTTGAAGAGTGAATTGATAATGAGATGGTGGAGGAAGCCAAACTTGAGTGGCCTCAGTCGGATAAATGAGGCTTTTGGCCTGGAATGTGCAAGGAATTGAACCATCCCTCACATTCCAAATTGTTGTAGGTTTAGTTCACTCAAATAAACTGGAGCTTGTCTTCTTTTCATAAATGAGATCGCGCCGGAAGGTAGTTGCCCGTCGCTTGAGGGGGTTAGCTTTTGAGTCTTCACATTGTTTCTTTGTGGATATGATTGATGCATCCGGTGGTCTTGTTGTAGTTTGGTCCCCCCAAATTCGATGCTTCGATGTTGTTTCATTCCAGCTTCTACATTTGTACCAAATCAATGAAGTCAATTTTTCATATGTTGTGATTTGTTTTTACATTAGTTGTGATGTGACAATAAGAGCTAGTCAATTGGATCAGCTCCATGCTATCTATAAGGAAATCCATTTAGCGTTTGAGGTGATAGGGGATTTCAATGCGACGCTGCATGAGGCTGAAAAGGATGGAGGTAATCCATGAAATGTCACACACGCAATCGACCTCCGAAATTTATTGACGACCTTGGTCTCCATGATCCTGGGTACCATGGTGATCAATTCACCTGGACGAATAAATGTATGGGGTCCGCGTGTATCCGTTAAAGGTTGGACCGAGCCCTGTGCTCACAAGCTTGGATTGAACGTTATCCCGACACCCTGGTTGAGCATTTCACGGACCAGGGATCGGATCCTCGAGCTCTACTCCTTTTTTATAAACCCTATGTCTGGAATTGTCGCCCACTCTTTAGGTTTGATGCTCGTTGGGAGAAGAACCTAGAAACGAGGGTTATAATTGGGATGAAATGAGGGATTTCTATCCTAGTGTCTCTTTTAACTTGAAGGTTGAAGCATCCAACGCATTGAAGGAACATGTCATAGAAGAAAATTCCAAACCTATGTGTCCAAATCTAATCCTCGACAACTGGTCGTGAGATGTACTTCACACAAGTTTATGGGTTGTCCGTGAAAGGTTAGTGTCCCGGATAGAGATGATGGTAAAGCATGAGTCGTGCGAGAGGCAAACTCAAGTCGTACATGTATGCCAGGAAGTAGATCACGAGATCACAAGCAGATGGATTCTGAGCTCATTTCTAACTGCATCAAACATTTGGTCAGAGCACAGCCTAATATTCGGATCAATACTATTATAGCTGAATGTGCAAACAGATACGACGTAGCCCCTTCTTATAAGAAAGCATGGTATGGGAAGCAACGGGCAATTGAGAAGGTATACGGAAACTGGGAGGAGTCATACACCAAGCTTCAACACCTCATGCTTGCGTTGTATGCTCGAAATCCTAGATTTTGTTACAAGTGGGATCGCATCGCTAATGATGCTCATCAAGATTATTGCATCTTCCAACGTTTGTTTTGGGCTTTCCAACCATGTATTGATGGCTTCAAACATTGTTTGCCTGTGATTTCTGTTGATGGTACCTTCCTTACTGGTAAGTACAAAGGGGTTTTGCTGATGGCATGTGCTCAAGATGGTAATAGAAAATTATTGTCTTTGGCGTTTGCAATTGTAGAGAGCAAGAATAATAGGAGTTGGCCCTAGTTTTTTGAATGCCCCCGACGATATGTCACCCAACGGGAAGGCCTTTGCATAATATCTTATCCTCATCAATGCATTCAAAATGCAATGGAGAATATCGGTTTTCAATGGAAATGGAAGTGGTGCTTGCGCCATTATATGTCTAACTACAATAACCACTTCAGAAATAAGGATATGAAGAAAAATATTTGGTCAATTGGTATGTTCAGTACTTGGTGTACTTAATTGATTAAATTGGTATAAAGTTTACTCTTCAATTGATAATTTACTAGTCAATTGTAATTTGTAGGTGTCCAGAATCAAATACGCAAGTATTCTGCTTTATTTGAGAAATTTGTTGTAGTTGATGCAAGGTTGATACTACATAGTATTGAGTGGTTCACGAAGAATCAGATATACTAGAGCTTGGCCCATGATGATGAAGATGGAGGGAGTAGGTGGGCTATCATGACAACCAATCTTTCAGAGTGCATGAATGGTGTTCTGAAAGAAGTTCGTGGCATGTCAGTTGAGGCACTTGTCTTATAAACTTCTGGCGCGTGGTTAACTACTTTAATGATCGTCAGATGGATCTCGTGTCTGACTATGAAGCTAGTAACTTGTCCACTGAATATTGTGCCACTGAATTCAACAGAAGATTGAAAAAGGCAAATTGCCTTCATGTGCGACCATTTGACTCAATGGCTGCAAGGTTTGAAGTCGTGACTGGGGTGAATAATGCAGTAAACAAAGGGGGAAATTCTCAAGTGGTTCATCTCAATGTTGATGATAGGTCTAGGAGGTGCACCTGTGAAAATTTTCAAGGGACAGTTATACCATGTTCCCATGCAATTGCATGTTGCCAGTTTCTAGGTATGGAGGCTAAAGTTTTTATCAATCCTCACGCAGCTCTTAGGGAGTGTTATAAGTCTGGATTCGAACCACTTGGTGATATGCGGTATTGGCCTAAGTATCACGGACCTTATCTGCATGTTGCTAGTTTCTACGCAATGAGATGGATTGACGCGATGGAGGGATTCCTCCCGAGTGCAGCGTTTGTGATCAAGCTGGACACAATGCAAAGGCCTATCCAAATCAAAGTTCGTCTCAATCCCAACCATCATCGTCCATGATATGATCCCAATTGGATCAATATACAAGTTACAATTACTTGCCAAAGAAGCCATCTCACCTCACATGAAGAATTCTGATTTTTGGTTAAGTGTTGGAATAGTGACGATGTACCTACTTTGGAGGCTTGTTTCTCTCAATTTGCAAGATGAAAATTCGAGTTTGATAGCTTGTTTTGAAGATAAGAACTTTATCTACAAGATGGTATGCTTGGTAGCCCAAGAGGAAGTCAGAAGGTCATTTCCAGACGTCCAAAGTTGCTATCTGGAAAGCTGAAAACTGCCAAAATCTGGCAAAGTCTGGAAACTGTTTTGTGAAGCCTACTTTGGAGCTCAACGTGAAACTAGGTATGTTTATCTACCAAGGGAAGGAATCGGATGAAAGATTGGAGTTTTGTAAGGCCTTGAACGAATGGCACGAAGTTAGTACGAAAGCAGTTTTTGAATAGTGTGCTTGTGCTAAAAGGCAACTACTTGTGCTAGAAGAAAGAGAGTTTTTGACCGAAAATTGTAACCTTTTTAGAGTAGGTTTTTACCTTAATTGTTTCTTGTTAGTTTAGAATTGTATTAGCTTCGGATTGATTGTTTTCTGTGTGACTTTGATAACATACACCCCTCCAGGGTTGTATTAAGTGGTATCATAGCCCGGTTCTACACAAGGGCGTAGGAGACGAAGCAATTGATGATATCTGCACAAGCAGAATTCGTGTTTAAAACAGGGCAGCCCCTATTCGTGTGTTACAGCTGTTGTTTCCTGTGCAATCGCGATGGAAAACTCCCTTCGAGCAAAGGAGTTGGTAGAGGGCAGTACCAAGGAGCAGCAGGCACGAGTTCAAGGCCAAAAGAAGCAGCCAACAGTTGTCATCAAGCATAGAGAGTCCGACGAGCAGCGGGACAACCTATTTCACAGCCGCTGTTTCGTTGAAGGTAAATTGGTGTCGTTAGTAATCGATGGAGGCAGCTGTGCAAACCTCGTTCGCTTAGACGCCGTCAAGAAGCTTGGATTGACAACGCAAAGACATCCCCAACCTTACCAACTCAGTTGGATCAACGAACATTGAACGATCATTGTAACGAAACAAGTGTTAGTTCGTTTTAATCTCGGACAGTACAAGGACGAGGTTTTGTGTGACGTTGCACCGATGCAAACAGCTCACCTATTGCTTGGTAGACCGTGGCAATTCGATCGAAAGGTTACACAAGAAGGTTGGACAAACTATTACACGTTTCAGCACCAAGGTAAGAAGTTTGTTTTGAAACCACTTTCTCCGGATGGCGTGTACAATGATCAGAAGCAGATGGAGGCAAAATGAAACATGGGAGGTGAATCCCGAGCTCAATTATTGGTCCAGAGGCATATAGGTTTCAATTTCCTGAGATTTCGGAAGCTCCCAAAGGTCAATCCTGTGCTGGAATCTGACGACAGTCGCGACCCCTGTTTTGCTCCGACAAAGTAGAGTATTGACGTCGGAAGCCCTGCCGACGAGGACAAAGTGAAATCAGAGCAAAACGCGGTCGAAAACGCGTGTTGTGAGGTTGAAGGAACGACAGCGATTCATGTAGAAGCTCTAGATCGGGCTGATGGCGATCGCATTCCTCTGTCGACAAGCAACCCAGAATTATGCTTTCTGACGGCTATGCATGGGAGGAGAGAGGTGCAATTGGTCAGAGCATCTGGGGCGATGTCGACCTCAACCACTGATGGCCAAACATTTCGTATATTCCCAAGAAGCTCTTCCATCGAATGGATGGACTCGATTGCAGCCCTGATCGCGAATCCGAATCGGGCAAAACTTTCTCTGAAAAGGGTCAAATATGAAGCAAAAACCCACAAATGGGTCGGGGCAACTACAACTGAATAGATATCAATTGGAAGTTCAGAATCGAAGGGAGGGACTGTACGAAGCTGTAGGATCATTCAATTTTCCGCGACGACCACTGAATCAAAAACGCCCAAACTGGAAAATTCAAGCCGAAGTGCGACGAACGACGGGTCCAAGAATGAAGAATCGAATGTGGAGTTTGAGCGTGATTTGAGCTGTTCTGGCACTTGGGATCGATTTCTGGGTTCACAAAGATGGTGTGCGGGCTCAAAAACCGGTACGAAAAGGTCAGAATCACCATTCCCCAATGTCAATTTTTGCTCGCCGGAATCTGGGAATTTTTCGCCGGATTCTGGGAAATTCAAACTTCTCGACGGCGGGAAATTTTGGAATCACGATTGGCGACGAGTTGGAGAGCATCGAAGTGTGGGAATGGGTGTAATCGACTCATGGAGACCTTGGCAATCAGTTGGAGGCAAAGTATTGGGTCAGAACGGCATGAATTGGAAAGCCCCAATTTTGAAGAACTCGCCGGAAAACTTGAATTCGCCGGATTCTGGAAAATTGCAAAGTCAAGTTCTGGGTTTGTTTGAGCACAATGTTTTCATGGGAAATGTCCATTGGAGTCCCCCTAATTTCATGGAACTTAAATCGTGGAAGACAGCAGCCAATTCGCGAGTTAATGAAGTTTTGAAGTTCGACATTGCAAGTTCGAGGTACCTATTTGTGACTCGATTTGGGAGGAATTTTGTAACGATTCTGACAAAAGAAAGCTTCAAGCTTTGATTTCAAAGCTTTTTGAAGAGGGGGAGCCTGATATGATCCCGATTGGATCAATCCACACTTCACAATTGCTTGCCAAAGAAGTCATCTCAACTCACCTGAAGAATTCTGATTTTTGGCTAAGTGTTGAAACAGTTTCAGGCAGCCTACTTTGGAAGCTTGTATCACACAAATGGATCAATGAAAATTGGAGATCAAGGGCTTGTTTTACATATAGTTTCCATGTTTCCAATGGTATGCTTTTTGGATCCAGAAGATGTCATTAAGGTTGTTTTCCAAGTCCTCAAAGTTGCTACCGCAAAACTAGAAAACTGCCAGAAAATGGCTAAGGCAGAAAACTGTTTTGTGAAGCCTACTTTGGAGCTTATTTCAAGGAGCATGGATGAGATTCAAGTCAAAAGGCTTCGTCAACATGATACTAGGTATGTTTGTGAACAAATCAAGGGAATTGGATGAAGAATTGGAGCTCTGGAAGGCCACGAACAAAAGGCGCGAAGTTAGTACAAAAGCTGTCTTTTGAGTGTTTGCTGGCAGCTTGCTTGTGCTTCAAGAAATGGAGTTTAAATCCCGCATTTTTGTGACCTTTTTAGTGTAGACTTTTACCTTAATTGTTGCCTAGCTCTATTATGATTGTATTAGGTTTATTTGCCTTTAAATACCTTCTAGTTTGCTTTGTAAAAAGATAAGACTTGATTAATCGAAAATGAACCGTTTGGTTTGTTCAAGTTTGCGAAGTTGTTTTGGTTTTGATGGATTCCAAACTTATTGAGCTTGAGTATGGATTGAATAGTCACTTCAATCGTGGTCGAGCAAATACCATTCTATACCCATACAACCCTCCAGGGTCTTATTAGATGCGGGGATCTTTGTCGAGAATTTCCCTTGCCGTCTCGTCCTCGATTCGTCTCGCTGCAACATCGGATTAGCTGGTGCATTATAGCACCCATTATAGCACTCGTGGGCCTTGATGCCGAGTGGGCTTAGTAATTAGAGATTATTATTAGTTAATTATTGGGTCATTGTTGTTATTTGTATTAGTTTATTATGCCTTGTTGAGTAAGTTATTAGTTACCTTGTTAGAGTGGGATAGGGTTAGCTATTAGGTTTTCCTACGTTTTTCTATCAATATGTACTTTGTTCTTTGATTTTGATACGTCAATGAATAATAAACCAGTTTAGTAGTATTCGTAGTAGTTTTAGGAGTAGAAGTAAAGTAGATTATCGTTCTCTCGACGCATTAGAAACTATAATGCGCCAATTGGTATCAGAGCCTGATTTCGAGGAACCGGGCTTGGTGAAGCTCGCATACACGGATGAAGGCTTGGCGTGTCTCTTGGGGGATGTAAGAACCCTAAAAGATGGACAAACCCAGCTTTTGGAGGGACAAGGTCAATTGATTGGCCAGGTTGGAGCTATGTGAAGAACAAAAGAGAATGGCGAGTGAGGTTCACTCGATTCTTGTCATCCTTAATGACCTACCTTGGGGAAAACCGGTGATGGAATCGTCGAAGAGGCTGGAGGAAGGCGCTACGACGACAAAGCGCGAGCTGGTGCCGAAACCATTTGTGGTTGGTGAGAAGGCGCTCGAGGCCGTGGAGACTATGGAGGAGTTGACTTCCTCGATCGCAGCTACCATGCCAGTGTCGCCGCATGCCCTAGCTGGGTCGTTTGAGACCGAGGAGGAAGAAGTCGTTGATCTCATCAAGGTAGCTCTACTGACGTCTCACAAATCTACTGTCGTAGCCGCCGCTACGAGGCCAGTCGCAGTGAAGGAGCTAACCCTAGCTCCGGTTCCACTGCTCGTTGAGGATGGCGACAAAGACCAAGGCATCGTGGGAATAAGAAGTCCGGTTCACCCCTGTATTGGTCCAAGCATGGGAGGATTGGTCGGAGTCTTGTTGTATGGAGTTGGGCGAAGTTTGTTGAGGAGAGGGAAGCAAATGGAATGGCTGCAGCAAGCTTACACGTTCCATGAAGAGCATGGTATTAGTCTGGGTTCGTATTTGGGTGTGGAGATGGCAACCATGCTCCATGGATTGGCGGACTACTCAAATTCCAATTGGGAGCAACTTAGTTACACCAACGTGGGAATGAGAGTTAGCTTTGGCAGGTTCCAATGCGTCGACCCAGGTGGAGAGAATTTAGAAAGGATTGAAGCTGCTAACCATGGAGGGATCGATTGGGTGCTGAAGGTGAATTGGAAGTATCGGAAGCGCGATTGTCATCGTCCAAACCTCACCATTGTCCATCACAAGCTACGGGGAAGCTTCTTCTTCATCGATCCAGGTTGAAGATGGCGCCTAAACTTCGAGGACGAAGTTCTTCAAAGGGGGGAGGTTTGGTGCATTATAGCACCCATGATAGAACTCGTGGGCCTTGATGTCGAGTGGGCTTAGTAATTAGAGATTACCATTAGTTAATTGTTGGATCATTATTGTTATTCGTATTAGTTTATTATGCCTTGTTGAGTAAGTCATTAGTTACCTTGTTAGAGTGGGATAGGGTTAGCTATTAGGTTTTCCTACGTTTTTCTATAAATCTGTACCTTGTTCTTTGGTTTTGATACGTCAATGAATAATAAACCAGTTTAGTAGTATTCGTAATAGTTTTAGGAGTAGAAGTAAAGTAGATTATCGTTCTCTCGACGCATTAGAAACTATAATGCGCCATTAGCAACCTCTTCTTCTAGAGCTTTTACAATGTCACCACCTTCGCTTACTGCTGATTCTGCATATCCCTCAATACTCACCAGGCTCTACTCTTCCGAGAGGCCGGAGATCCATTCGCTTCTTCCAGTAGAAGAAGAGTTGAAAGGCGAAAAGTACCAAGGTCCACTGATCACCAAAACAGAGGTCGGGGGGATCAATTCTAAATATTATCCGATGTCTGTTTCTGTTTCGAGTGGAATTATATTGCTTTTTTCAATTTTGATTTTGATTCTGAGTTTGAGATTTTTTATCTTACTAGGGTTTTTAGAGTTGAAGGACTTGTTTGAGTTACCGGAAAGGTGAAGAGTGCCTAGGTCCTCTGATCATGGGAGCAGTGATTGGTGAGATAAAGACACGGATGGAGGAAGAATTTCGTTTGTTCTGACTGGCTATAAAGGCATGGATCTCTAATGCTGCTACCTGCAATTTCCTCACTGGTATGAACACTTTTTAACCTTCTCTTCACTCGCACTCTTTCGCATAGTCAATCATCGATAGCGAGGTTCGTCGGTTTCCATTGGGGGGATGGTGTTTCTGCACAGCAACATTACTGCATTTCGATAGGGTGCCAATTGTTACCGAGCTAGTATTCAGCTTAGTCATCAATCAATGTCAACTCTACACTTCCTATACCAGCTGATTCTGTATGATGGTATCCCTAGCGACCAAGTAGTGTTTCGACAGGGGAGTCATCTCTCTGTATTATCACCTGCTATTTCCAAAACTTGAACTCCACAGGCTGCTACTTCATAAAAAATGTGCTTCTGTTGCATCACCCTGCATTAGATTCAAGGGACTGATGAAGTATTTTCTTAGATCATCGCATACATTTACCAGTTGCTCAAGTCGTTCTCACATTATGATGAGGACATTAATGGGCCAGTCACACGTGTTAAGGCAAGGACGTTGAAGAAGAAGCTTGCGACATATTTGGAGAACTACTTTGTAGCCATGGGCGTGGAGCTATTTCGAGGGAAGCCATATATGATGATTCGAGTGGAGGAAGAAGGAGGAAGTGCTGAAGAGAAGGCAGATTGCAAGAAGCAGCCTTAACGGGTTTGCTTAATGGGTCCAGCCTTAATGGGTTTACTTAACGGGTCCAGGCTTAACGGTTTGGGCTTAACGGGTTTGATGGTCTATTTCCGAGTTTTCATGTTTTAAAGTCGGTTTATGATTGTTTTTCCATGTTGGAGTCAGATTTGGGTTGTACTTTGCTTATTTAAAGGGTTGAACACGTTGGTTTGCCCTTAGACGATTATTATTGAATTTCATAGGCTAAAGCCGAGTTCCCTACGCGGAATTTGCCCTAATTACTCTATCGAGAATCTCTAGAGTGCTAGAGAGACTCTTATCAGCTAGGTATTCACCCTGGTTGTGGCGAGCTACCCATATCGATTGCCCTTTATTCCGAGTTGAATCTGTCCGATCGATTCATATATCGATTGCCCTTATTCACGGGTGAGTACTGTCCGATCGATTTCCATCCTATCCGGTTCTGTTTGGTTCGAGAAGTTTGACCCTGCGCTACTTTGATTACATCAAGTGGTATCAGAGCTAAGGTTCAAATCAGTGGCGTGTTCTTGAAGTTTTTTTTTGAAGATCTTGTGCGTTCTTGTTCGTGTTCTTGGTGGTTTTGTGCGAGCTCTTGAAGGTCTTGGCGTGTTCTTGAGCCGCAAGACAGGAGGTTGTTTGTTCTTGGGAGTTCTTGGTGTTTCTTGCGAGGCAAGAGGTAGGTTGTGCGAGTTCTTGAAAGTTCTTGTGTTCTTGGAGTTTTCTTGCGTCACGAACATGGAAGCAGCACTCGAGGCGATCAGAAATTAATTGGAGAACATTTCTCGTGCTCAAGAAGAGCAAACAGCAAGGCTTGCTGAGCAAGCCACGAGGATGGAGGCTGTCGAGACAAGGCTCCAGCAGCCGGTTGCGGTTAATGCAAACCCTAACCCTAGACCTCAATAAGAAGAAAGGGGAAGGGAAAAGCGAGCTCCTCCAACCTTGGTTCACGAAGTACAGCGTCATATGCGCCAGCATAGACGCCTTGGAATGCCTCGAGCTGAAAGGAGAGGAGCAACATCATGAAGAGGAGTTTAATGACAAGGAAGAAGAGGGCTTTGAGGAGGATGATGATTTGCGAAACCTCAAGATCACGATTCCACCTTTTCGCGGTACCACAAACCCTTATGCTTATTTGGATTGGGAGCGAAAGATGGAACTAGTGTTTGATTGTCATAACTACTCCGAGAAGAAGAAAGTGACATTGGCTGCCCTAGAGTTCTCGGATTATGCACTTGTTTGGTGGGATCAATTGGGAACGAAACGAAGGAGAAACATGCAGTGTCCTATTGAGACGTGGGATGAGATGAAAGGAATTATGAGGGATCGGTTTGAACCGAGTTCCCATTTGCGAGATATGTATCAAAACCTCAGGCTTCTCCGGCAAGGAACTAAAAGCGTTGAAGATTATCACAAGGAGTTGGAAGTGTTGATGATACGTGCTGATGTGAGAGAGGACCGCGAGGCTACCATTGCTCGTTTTCTGTATGGTCTCAAAGATCAAGAACGTGGTGGAGATACAACCGTTCCTTGAACTTGAAGATTTGGTGGATATGGCATGTAAAGTGGAACGACAGCTTCGAAATAGGAGGTTTCAACCCTCCACGAATTCCAAACTTTCGAGCCAAGGTGTTGCAACCAACCCTAAGCCGCAAATGCCCGTGAAAGAAGCTCCTAGACCCACGGCAAGGGCTGATGGTGCAAATCCAATTATGAAGCAAGGTGGATCGTCGGGGAAAATTCGTTGTTTCAAATGCCATGGAAGAGGACACATTGCGAGCCAGTGTGCCAATAAGAAGACCCTGATCTTGCTTGATAATGGTGAGTATGTATCGGAGGAAGAGGAAGAGACCACCGATTCTGATGTCGATGAGTCTATGGAAATGGAACCACCTCCAAGCAGTTTGTTTGTAGCACGGAGAGTATTGTCTGCGCAGCCTAAGGAGGAGAGTGAACAGCGAGAAAATATCTTCCATACGAGATGTGTAGTTGATGGGAAGTTGCTGTCTGTAGTGATCGATGGAGGAAGTTTCACGAATGTTGTGAGCGCTTGTGCGGTGAAGAGGCTAGGGTTGCCTATGTTGAAGCATCCAAAGCCATACACGCTGCAATGGCTTAACGATCATGGATCCATCAAAGTCACAAAGCAGGCACTAATGAAGTTCGAGATTGGAGATTACAAAGATGAGATTTTGTGTGATATAGTGCCTATGCAAGCTGCACATGTGCTTTTTGGCAGGCCATGGCAGTTTGATCGACAAGCACAGCATGATGGAGTGACAAATAAGTACAAGTTGCAAAATGGAGGACATAAGTTCGTGTTGAAGCTTTTGTCTCCAAGTAAAGTATATCGAGATCAACTCCAAATGAAGCAATGTCGAGAGCAATAAAAGGCAAGTAATGCCTCGGCCAAGAAAGGAGAAGAGGGAGCTAGAATTGTGGATTCGAAGGCAGTGATGCTAGCACGCAGTGGAGATTTGAAGCAAACTGCCTGTGCACGAGACCCTTTGATTGTGCTCATGTACAGGGACGTGCTACTCAATCAAGAGCTAGTCCAAGAAGTTCCAGCCGAAGCAAGAGTGGTGTTGGATGAGTTCGAAGATGTGTTTCCAGAGGAAGCACAGAAGGGGCTACCTCCTATTCGCGGAATTGAGCACCAGATTGATTTCGTGTCGGGAGCTCAAATTCTAAACAAGGCAACATATCGAGCAAATCCGGAAGAGACCAAAGATCTGCAAAGGCAGATTGACGAGCTCATGGAGAAGGGGCATGTTCGAGAAAGTTTGATCCCGTGTGCAGTTCTGGTGATTCTCGTGCCAAAGAAGGATCACACCTGCCGGATGTGTGTAGACTATCGAGCCATCAATCAAATTACAGTTAAGTATCGTTATCCAATTCCACGATTAGATGATATGCTTGATGAATTACATGGCTCTACGGTGTTTTCTAAGATTGATTTGAGATCAGGTTACCACCAAATTTGTATGAAGGAGGGAGACGAGTGGAATAGGGATAGCAATGGGTCAGGTCGGGGACGAATAGTGCATATCCGTTACCCTACCCAAAGTAGTTCGGGTTTTACTCATACCCATACCCACATATGAAACGGGTAGAAAATTAAAACCATGCCCATACCCGTTCGGGTTTCGGGTATCCACGGTTATCCATGGGTAATGATTTCTCTTCATAACTCCAACTAATATGTTAACATTCACACGTATTCTCACATTACGCAAGAGGAAAAGTCTGACAATAATTCACTAGAATGAAGAAAATTAATTAAAACAACACAATTTCATGAAAATATTATATTTATATGCCAAATATAAAATATGTTTGAGAAAAATAATGACTATTTCTAGACAAAATACATATGCATGTGTATAATCGGGCGGGTTCGGGTTGGATACTGAGAAACCCATGCCCACCCATTACCCACAATATTCGGGTTCGAGTTTTACCCGTACCCACTAAATGTCATTCGGGTTCGGGTTTTACCCTACCCGATTAGGTCGGGTTCGGACTGATATCCA